ATATATATATATATATAGTTCATATAGTAAAATGTACAGATCATTCAGGAGATGGGTGATGTGACCTGTTTTTTGTAAATTTTTATACAATATTTAACTTTATTTACAAATATTTTCCCAACAGGAACACAATAAGATCTCTTCTCTCTTCAGGTCCATAAAAAAAAAACATTCTCTTTGAAATAAGCCGTGAAAACTGGTTCTGTGTTCGTCTTCCTATGCTTCTTTTAGCTTTTACATTTGTAGCTTTACTGCTTTTAGTGTTTATCTATCCTTTTGCTACTATTAGCTTAAGTTCTGCTACTTTTACTTTTTTAGCTGGCCTTTTCCTCCATTTTGGTTTTAGCTAGGCTCTCACTACATTTAGCTTATCAAGACTTACACTACTTTTTGCTTTCAGCTAGCTTGTTGCCACTTTTAGTTTGTTGCTAGCCTTTTGCTACTTTTTATATTACCTTATTTTTAGTTACTTTTAGCTTTTGTTCTGCTACTTCTACCCTTTAGCTAGCCTTTTGCTCCCCTTAACTACTTTCACTACATTTAGCGTTTAGCTAGGGTTACACTACTTTTAGCTTTTCTTTTTTTAGTCAGCATTCGGCTACTTTTAGTTAACTTTTAAAACTTTTGTTTTATATCTAACAATTTACTGCTCCTTTAAACTTTTAACCAATTGTACTTTTATAGCTTTTAGCTAATGTTCTTGTTTTTTTTTAGCTCTAAGTACTCAGTTTGATTCTTTTCTGCAGTCATTTAGCACTCAGCAGAACAAGCATTACTTTGGTAGCCTGTAAATTTTCGGCGGTATCCGAAACATTTCCAGTTCAGGTAACTTTGCGACGCACCTTAATGTCAGGCAGCTGGAGGACTTCAGGAAAAGTGTTGATGCAGTTGGAGTGGGCGGACAGCGTGTGCAGCCGCTGGCAGCTGAGGACGGTGGTCGGCACGGCTCTCAGTCTGTTTCCGCTCAGGTCCAGCTCCTCCAGATGCTCCAGTCGGGCCAGTTTACTGCACAAAAACTCAGAATTAGTCCCAGTTACCCGGTGTTGAAGTCGGTACATACATTTTATAAAAGGACCAGTAATAGGAAGAAAGAATGAACGTTACCTGGCAGTGAAAGTCTGCAGCTGGTTGTAGGCGACGTGAAGCACCCTGAGGTGGCTGTGTCCCGTCAGCAGAGGGATGCATTTGTCTGTCAAGCCGTTACTGGTCACGTAAAGCTCCTCCAGGCTGCTGAAGGTGTCCTCCGACAGGCTGGCTGCAGGGAGGTCCTCCAGCTTATTGGCCGACACATTTAAGTAACGTAAACTATGATGAAATCCACAAGTAATCCACGGTAAGAGGGAGAGACAACTGCAGAAGGGAAGCAGCCCATATGAGAGACAAGTACGCACCTCTGCGCTTCGCTGAACAGGTTGTGTGGGAGCTCGGTCAGGTGGTTGTGCTGGAGGTCCAGCACTTCCAGCTGAGACCTCTCCAGCCTCTCGGTCAGCCGGCACACATCGTTCCAGCCTGCCAGCAGCTTTCTGAGGCTCCCGCTGGACAGCAGCCTGCAACACAAACAGCCCCCTCAGTCTGGAGATCAAACCTCCTCCGCTTCCAACGGAGGCTCAAGCAGTTCAACAAACTCACGACTCCTGACAGACGCAGGGAGAGCCGAGGCGTCGCACACCGAGCTGAAATGATGTTTGCTGCTCATGTAGTTTGTAGATGAAGCACGGGATTATGTTCATCAGACAACTGTTTAATCTGTACTGAGGGCGGCGTCCTGAGCCCGAGCTGCTAATCTGAATACAAAACCAGAACTGGTACGGTCAAGTTTTCTAAACGCATGCATCACTGGTTATTTTAAGACTGACTGTTTTTTTATGGAAAAATGTTTCATCGTTTCTACTTATTTCAAATTTTAAAAAACCTCAGTTGATTTTATGACCGCTTGTCAAACATTTATTTATGTAACATGTACCTCTGAGGGACTAAAATAAAGAGTTTATGCACATTAAAAAACCAACAACACACATTTAAACCTTACTATAATACAGTTTAATGTTAATTTTGTGAAACTATGTTCCCATTTACATTAAACTTCTTGTTTTATGGCTGAACTGACTTGTTACATTAAATAATCTGCATTTAAATAACTATTTTTATCATTAGCAAGGTTCACAAAATATTTTATACTGCGAACTAAAACTATTTGTTCATCTTTTATAGATAATTAAATGCTGGTTGTCTTGGTAATTTAATAAAAGGAGAACAAAGACTGAAAACAAAATATTGTTTCGATTTTCATCTAGACTTGAAAAACACTAAAACCTCACACTGCAGAGGAACCCTGTAATCTGTCCAAGGTAATGTCAGCTGTGACAAAACCCAGAATTATTTATTTACAGTTTGAGATCCTTATCAACAACCGGCTAAAGCATGACTTTTGTTACAACCTTAGTTTACAGCTTCATGTGGCTCTGCAGGTGAGTTAAGTGGAGCGGAGCAGCCGTGTGTAGTTCGACAGCCTCAGTGTCACAATGAGATGCTGAAATACGCAGCTCATAACAAGTGTCTGCTCCTAATGTAGCAGCGTTTGGACGTACAAAAACTAAATCTGTCTATGATGCTCCTCTTTACGTCTCTATATTGTCAAATGAATGTGTTTTTGTGCCTCTCACCATGCAGGCAGCTCAGCGACACAGTTATGGTTGATGTCCATCACCTCCAGTCTGCTGCTCTCACACAACCAGTCCGGGACGCTCTCCAGCTTGTTCCTTTAAGAAAACGATCACAGTCAGCGAGCAGCGTTAAAAAGCCCTCGTTCCCCGTGTAAACAGGAAAGTAAAGCGTTGACAGTTTTCACACCTGGACAGATCCACAACGGTCAGGTTCTCGGGCGCAGGCTGCACCTCCAGCTGCCTCAGCTCTGCAAGCACAAACACAGCGTGAGTGAAGCCAACGTGAAGGCAGCGCCTGCTGAAGCTCTCCACGACGTTGGTACCGTTATGTGCGGCGTGCAGGCTCTTGAGGGCGTGGCCACTGACTCTGAGGACTGACAGCGCGTTTCTGTCACAGCGGAGCAGTTCCAGCTTGGACAAACAGCTGAGATCCAGCTCCTGTAGTCCGGTGTCCCTCAGGTCCAGCTGCACAATGTGGACCAGCTGCTCCGAGTCTGCTACTGCCACGTTCTGAAGCCGGTTCAGCCTGAGAGACGGCCCGCAAAACCGGTCAGAACGTGAAGTGGTTAAAGTGAACAGAAGGTTTATTTAACTAACCACTTCTACCATTATTTTAACTAAACATAATGAAACAGGTTTATTATATAAAGGCATCTGTTTGAGAATTTACTGCAGGCATCCTAAACCAACGTGAAGCAGAAACACAGAAGCAAGTTATTCCCGCAGCACCCTGGGAAATGTTTAATTTCAGACGAGTGTCGCTCAACTTCTAAAAGCGTCTCAAGACGTTGTGGCGATTCTTACCTGAGATCTACGTAGCGAGCGGGCAACCACTGCAGCCCAAACAGATCCAGGACGCAGACCTGGTTCCCTGCCAGACAGAGTTTCTCCACACCTCGCAGCTTCTCCAGGACGGGGGGGACGCAGCTGAAACGGTTGAAGGACAGGCCAAGGTAGGACAGGCTCTCCAGAGAGCTCAGCTCCGCAGGCAGCGAAGTCAGGAAGTTTCCATCCAGGAGGAGAGTCTGCAGGCTACAGAGCGCAGGGGGACTTGTTAGGACATTACACAAGAGAATAAACCTCTAGGTCCTTAAAATAAGTTCTGTGGATCCAACCCTGACAGCACATTCAACAAAAAAGATCTAACTTGAATACGATCAAAGAGAAATAAAATCTAAAAGCTACTGAGAGCAGTCAGTGACCCGTCTTCAGCACCAACTAGTCCAGCTGAAGATCCACGATGCACTCCTGACCAACGGTTCTAAACACAAAAGACCTCACGCCACGCTGTGCACGAGCTATCTCAACATCTGCATGACTCAACATTCTACACATTATTGAGTCTTTTAAGGTGAGTTGGCTTTAATGGCCAACTAATGTGTTTCTAATGATGTTTGCACACAAACAAAAACAATAACAGTTCAATTATTATCGCCCGTCTTTTGTCTTTGGAAGCAGGCGGTGATCATTTGTTGGAAATTTGTTAAAAGAGAAAGTAATTATTATCTTAAGGGGATGGAGATGTTTGTGAAGCCGTGGTGTCGCACCAGTCTGAAGATGCGATCCACTATATCTCAGGGTATTAGATTGTGGAATGATCTGGAGGTTGATATTAAAAATGCCAAAACTATGTACATATTCAAGAAGATGATAAAAAAAATTTTTTTTTTTAAATATTAAGTATAATGTGAGCTCATAAAAATTGTTTACAGTTGATCTTATATTTTAGCTAAGTTTTTATTTTATTATTTTTTATTTTTTTATTAATTAATCTTGCTTTTGTATAGTAATTTTGTTTGGAATATATTTTGGGGACAAGGGGCAGATATTATAAGAACTCATTCTTCTTCTGCTGCCTTTCATTTTATTTCTGTTATTGTATATCTTTTTTCTTTTCTTTAAATTGTATTATATTTGTTGTTTGGATGAAATGAATAAATTAATTTTTTTTTTTTTTTTTTAATCATTCATTGGGGCTGGAGTGATAATATGGTGACTGGTGGTGGTTTTTAATACCAGTAATGTAACTTTAGTGGTTACACGGTTTTATTTTCTTTGGTGCATTCCTGCTTTTATAAGAAAATAAAAAAAAGTTTGCAAAAAAGGTTCTTTCTCAAACTGTCCTGATGCTTTAAAACAAACTTTACATGTAAGAGTAGATTTTAACGGTCCCTTAAAGTCAAAGTAAGAAGTGTGACCCTTCAGAGACCCTTAGGGATTAGGCCCAGCCTGCAGTCATCATGACTCTGCAGAGGGAACTCCGCCAGAATCTCTGCATCTGAACACGACTGACACAGAGCCTGTTCTTTTCATACAGGGGGGCGCATTAACGTGCACTGGTGTTTCTGTCAGAGAGGAGGCATTCATGTGTGATCATTACAATCAACATTAATCACTGCAGCTCCTCGTCCTTCGCTTACTTGTGCATCATTGACATTTCAGCCGGCAGACAGGGGAGGCGGTTTCCAGAGAGGTTGAGCTCTGTGAGCGAGGTGATGTCGCACAAGGCCAGAGGAAACTCGCTCAGAGCGTTATTGGACAGACTGAGGCTTCTCAGTTTACAAAACCTAAAGACAAAGAGAGAAAGAGGCGCTCGGAGTGAGGGAGGGGAAGCAGACAAAGAGTGACACAGATATTCATCTCTGTGCTATAATCAGATTCTGACCTTCTTCTAAATTAGACACGCGAAAACAAAAAGCGTTGTGTGTGACACAACACCCTTTTGATCAAGTAAACAAAAACAGGCAGACTACAACAGTAAACAGGTTTACTTAGTAAAAACATGGCTCGAACTAATTGGACAAACCTTGAAAATAACGTTAGGTACACTCTTACATGACATGGCTCACATTATGTGTTAGGGACGACTCTCGGCTATTACTACCTGAAATATCAGCTCAACATCTGTAAAACAGACTCAGTTACAGCCATCACATGTCCAGCCTGCCTTTGCCTGTGGGTGATATTACCCCTGATTAAGCTTTCACGTGCATTTTTTAAATTCTTTTACAGATATCTGCTATCACTTTGTTTGTGTCTGTCCTAAACTGATGTAGCTGCATGGGGGAGCGAGTCAGGAGGAAAGAGGGTTTTCTGAGGGAAAGTTACAGGCGATCCACAGGAAAAACACTCTGGAAAACCCATTCATGGGAAGAGTGTTTACTTAGAAACATGGCTGCACATCCAAATGAACTTCCATCGGCTCAAACGTGAGCCTTCAACATCGCAGTCGCAAAGAAGTCCAAAAAACACGCCTCTTATCTTGTAGTCATGTCGACTTCATGTGGTCAGTAAACAAAACCGAAAGAGAAGTCGGGGTTTGCACATCTGCCCAAATCGAGCGATGAGTGATTTTTTTTTACTCTGCTCCACAGCTGTGAACACAACCTGTAAGACGACACCCGGGGCTCGCCGTAAGAAGCTCGTCTTCAGTCAAGTCTAAACAGAACAAGCCGATTTCAGAGTTAGCATGGCAGACAGCAGCGTTAGGAAGCCTTTACCCAAACTATGGCATGTATTTAAATGCTGCAATCGCTAATTTTAGGGCTTTGTTTCTGAAATGCAAGTACACGGTCGAGGTAAACAAACTGCACTTTAATCTACATTACTCAACAAATCTGAGCATAAACATGTAAATAAACTAAATTGTCTGACTGTCTCCACTCCAACTGGCTCTTTCCTTGGACGCCATCTTTGCTGACCTAATTTCAGTCCCTTCGGCTGTTTTCTTAGGTAAACAAACACGTGGCAGCTGGTCACAAATTTAGCTCAGTTTTCACTGAGGAAGTTGTTTTTATAAAAGCAAAGTTTTCTGGTTCTAAACTAAAAATGTGTGAGAGAAATGAAACCAACGTGGAAGCTCCGTTTAGTTTTTTTTGTTTGAAGACAAACGTAGAAAGTTCAGCCAACTCACGGCGTGCGACGTTAAGACGCGAGTGGAGAACAGAACCTCACCTGGTGAGGGCGGGAACACCTTTGTGCAGGGTCATGAAGTTGTTTTTGAGGTTAAGGTGCGTAAGGTCGTGGCTGTAGAACAGCTGAGCGGGCAGCTCCTCCAGGCTGCAGCACGACAGGTCCACAGAGTTCACCCTCTGAGAGGCGATCTGTCTCACGAGGACAGAAAGACAAAATGAGCACCTCAGTTAGACAGCAAGACATGTCTCAAAGGACATGTTCAAAAAATATCAACAGATGCTTAAATAGATAGATAATAAATAAATATGAGCTGTTTTAATGACAGTTTGCACCTTTGAGGCCATCCTGTGCCAGCGCAGGTGCTCAGCGTACGAGTCGTAGCTGACGTAGTAGGTTTGACTCTGGGGACCAGCAGAGCTGAAGGCCAGACAGTGACTGTGCCTCTTCACCTCCTCGACCTGCAGCAAGAAACACGCCTCAGCTCCTCCACACTCATCTTTTGATTGGTAGATCATCATTTAATGTCATTTCTCTTCAGAAAACGCAAACGTGGCCTGCAGAACAGCGTAGTGAGACTTCTACAGATTGTAGCTCACAGGCTCATCTCCTTACCGAGACAGTCATCAACAAACATAAATCCAGTTCTGTCCCTTTTCCTGAAGGTAAGCTTGGCCTGTCACGATAACAAATTTAGCTGGGCTCAGAAATTATCGCGATAAACAATAATATTGTTTGAAATTTAACAGTAATTAATTGCCAAATTTAAGAGAAATGTTGATTTGTTTGGAGTGTAGTACCTTTGTTGACCACCTGATGGCAGTATAAGAGTCTGAACCAAAGGATGGATAGTTGAGCAGTGTCTCTCTTAAGGAAAATGGAAGAGATGGCCCTTGACGTGACATGGGCCGACATGGCGGACGCTCGGTGGTTTGAGCTCTTTAGCATTTTTCACACAAAGCTTTTAATCAGTAAACAAGTTCTCAGCTTCTTTTTGCAGAGAAAAACAACTTTTTACACAAAGACACGGGTTTCAACTGTGAATTTTGCAGCTTCGCAAGACGGAGGTTTATTCCCGAGATCGGCCTGTTAGCTTAGCTCGTAGCTTAGCTGCTTTTAACGATCCAAAAAAACACGATTTTGGACGGTTAAAATGGACTTTAAAGAGAAAGGGAGGGCTCAGTGAAGAACACCGTGTCTTCAGTAGAAAGAGACACGAAGAAACAATAAAGCGGATAAATGAAAAAGAGGTCGATAATTTTCATTCATCATGCGATTCATCGATTTATTGTTTAAGGTAAGCTGACGGATAGTTCTAGTTAGAAATTATTTGATTGACTTGTTTTAATGGATTTGCCAACTTTTAGAAAACCCCCGTTACACACTGCATGAAAAACACATTCTGGCTCTCGAGGCTCAAAGCAGCTTACTGCCAAACGCTGAGGGGATTTGTGTTCCTGATGAAAACGGTTACCTTTCCTCCGATGAGGGGGAGGATGTGCATCTTTCCGGTGTGGGCGTGTTTCACAGACGACACAATGAGGCAGGTTCCACTCAGCGTGACCTGACGCTTGGACCAGCGGTTCACCGGCAGAGCCAGCTTCCCTTTCCGCACGTTGAACACCCCGGACAGCTGCACGCGCTCAGAACGCCCCACGCTGCGAGGCTTACCTGCGGAGGACGGAGACCAGCTCGTTACATGGCTAAAGATAATTGTTCCCAAGATGTTTGAACGTCTGACAGATTTATTTTCAGCTCTGTGGGATTGCGTGAATCAGCTCCATCTCTGTGGGTATCTCTTTCAGAAAGACGGAGCTGTGTGGTTATGTAAGTGAAGTGAATAAACAGCCTGTGGGCTGCCACAGTGAACAGTCACTCGGGCATGATTTGTTACATTTTTAACCCCTCGCTGACACAAAAATGAACTGCAGCTGGGTTTGAGGCCACAGATCAGCCCTTCACTCCCCTCTGTTTACATTTCTGTAAACTTCTAGTCACTGTGTACTCTGAAACTGTCAGGTCCAATCCACCAGGGGAAGGAGAAAGTGAGACACATGAAGAGTCTGAACCACAAAGAGGCCCAAAATCAAATTAGCTTGTTATGCAACGGCTTGCAACACCAGAACCTCCACCGTTCAGTGACCGGCACAAACATTTACCTCGTGTTTTTGCCTGATTTTTCTTACCATGGGGGGAGCACGGTTGCCAAGACAGGTGTGAGGAAGACTACAGTGGACTGGAGCTAATCCACTTGTTTATATTTCCAAAACACCTGAACCCAAATGTTGCAGATTAAACTGAAAATATTGATTGTATTACACTTTTGGAGCAGTCATTTATTAAAGTGACAGATTAGGCCCAAGTGGCAGGAAGGTTATCCTCCAGTTGAAGGACGGAGGGGTCGAGCCACAGCCCCTGCAGCGTGCCGATGTGTCCTTGAGCAAGAGTGGAAATCCAAGAAGAAAGCAGCGGATGAACGAGTGTCAACTGTGACATGAGAAATACTGAAGCACTCCAAATGATGTAATTTAAACTATTGTTTAATGTTAAAGCTAAATTGTTAATAAACTGCTAGTTGTTTCAATTAGCAGCATAAAAAATAAAAACATTTCTTGGATCCAGCTTTTACCAAATTGTTTTTGGGGTTGGTGCATTTTAATGAACCTCCTCAGCTGACTGGCTAAACGTTGATAAAAGTCTAAAATTTAGGAACGTTTCATGAGTTGGGTGCGAGTTAGTTTGGGGATTAGTGGGCCCACAGTCAGAACCAACCATGGACAGAAGAATTTTGTCCTGTTTACATCAGAACACTGGTGTGAAATGTGATGGGTGGATCCACCCCTCCCCGAGAGGTGCAGACATGTAGTTCGTTAATAAATGTGCCCTATCCCTCCTTCTGGTTCTCTAAATGGAGAACACACCCTGTTCGTTCTCCAACAAAACATTTCCAGCACCTCTTCTTCTTCAGTACCAGAATCAAATCCAGACCGCCTGGGATCTGATGGCAAGTCCTCAACCCGAACAACGAATCTGAATCTGCAGCCTTCCTCTTCCTCGTGAGGCGAAGCCGTGACCTCAGCAATTTGATGCTGAGGGGGAGTCTGCAGCTGCCTCAGAGAGATTCGAAACACCGAGGAGGTGAAATCCGAGTTCCACTAAGGTCACCGTTTTCTTAACGTCAGCCAAAGTGATGGAGAGGACACGTGCGTGTGGCAGCGTCCGTTTGGCGAGCTGCGTCTCAAACTCTTCTGACCAGGCGAGGATCGGACAAGTCGTGCTGCATCCACTGGTTGGTCGTGAAGAATTTTATCTCATCTCCATAAAACTTGTTTTCAAAATCAGAGAACGAATAAGTCACTCAACAGGACGCTGCAATAAAAGGCAGCGAGTTATTGTCGCCTCACGTCGTCGCATCACTTCTCCTCATGCCCGTCACACAAACCAGCCTCTTTAATGGTCGAATGTTTGTCTGCAGAGTCTCTGAACTCAGCGCTCACATGGGAGGACGTACAACCGAAGGAGGGTCTCCCTCACACTTTAATGCTTTACTTTTAAAGGGATCATTTGGACAGTTTAAATGACATTCAAAGCATCATAGCTGTAGCACCTCTGCTGCAGCCCAAGGGCCCGACTTTCTACACGAATATTTTAATGTTTGTCAAAAAATAACCACAGAGGGCAAAACATACGGCAGCTTAGAGGTCTTTGAAGGAGCATTCATGTGAACAGCGATGACATTTCTGAGCCGTTTCGAGACGGAAGCAATCCACTTTGGTCTTGGCTGTAGCTCGGACAGTCTTGTCAGACTTCCAAAGAGTCGTTTAAAACAAATAAGACTGTTTACAACCTTCACAGAGCCGTAGAAATAAACAACACGAGTAAACAAATGAGCAGAAAATGAAATAATGCTATTGAAAGCAGTTTTCAGTGGTCTGTTTTGGTTAATTCAATCTGGATTCGGAATGTGATTAAAATTATTTTTTTTTTAGCACAAAATAAAGCCGAGCCATCACATCCAGTGTCTTTATCTCCTTTGTTTGCGGATCGTATAGAAAACAAGGTTTAAAAAAAATCCAGTTGCGCTAATCCCATAGGAGATCATGGGTGTTTTCTATCCTCTTACCGTGCTCGTCATGAAAACAGGTTATCAATAACAAAAACACCAGCGGTTTAAGAAGCTGAACGTACGAAGGCTGTTCTGGGGCGGGGCTGCACGCTGAAAGAGCACACCTGTTACCTTCTGACGTGACGTCTTACTGCCCAACAGGCTGAGGGGCTGGTTTACAGCCACACTGAGCTTCATTGTTCAGGCAGGACAACTGAATACGCTCATTTAAAAATCTGACTGACCAAACACAATGACGGCACTCACGGTACGACGAGAAAGGATGAACAATGACCGAGACGAGCGCCGCTGAAGCGGTCTGCAACGGCTTAGGGTCCTTACAGCTCAACAACAGGATGTCTGGGCGAAAACTGTGGGTCAGATTTGAACACATTCAACAAAATGCTCACCAAAGTAGAAACGTATCAGGCAGCCAATTTCTGGGTTCATGCTCTCCTCCTGCACCCTCCATGCTTCTTCAAACCCCAGGTTAGTGAGGTACTCGTTTAGGATCTGAAGAGGTCGTTCATCATCGCCCAGCCGCCGCACCGCTCCCCCGTGCAGCTGGACGAAGAGGGCCGGGGTCGGACTAGGATTGATGGGCTCGAGCCATTCTCTGCCACCCCCAGGGACCTCCTGGTCAGGCTGGACAGCTGCTTGGCTGGTTAAGGGCCGGGTCTGAGAGCTGCCCGAGCATTTAGAAAGAGGCTTGATTAATTTGGGGGTATCTGGGGCATCGGCAGCTTCACTGTCTTGTCTCGTAACGTGGCTAGGAGCAGCGAGGGCGTCCGAGCGGAGCAGGTCTGCAGCAGAGTTGTCGGTTGAGTGTAACGGGGAAGAGTTGAGGTCAAGTTCATCTGAAGAACTCTCAAATGGGTCTGGTCCCTCTGTGGCGCTGTCACAATTTGAGCTCATCGCAGACGAGTCGATGCTCAGGACCAGCCCTTCACTGAGGGAGTCTTGGTTCTCCGAGCTTCTGGGCGCACCTGGGCTGAAGTCTTCACAGGTGCTGCTCTCCACATCAGAACCAGAGTACCCTCCGTAGCCGTCCTGGCTCAAATCAATACCAATATCATTCAGACAGATCTCAGAGGAAGAGTTACTACCAGTTTTATCAAGTAATAAATTAGAAGGTGCTTTGTTGTCAGGGTAACACGTTTCATTTTCCTCCGATTTAAGATCATCAGCAAGTCCATTACTATCTTTATTACAAAGTTCGTTTGGGTCAGATGGATTGGGTTTGCAGTGGATCCTCAGCACAGCCCCAGCTTTGCTCCCCTCCAGTTTAGAGGCCACCTCTCTGGCAGTGGTGTCCGCGGTGCAGAGCACTGGGCGCGGGTAGGAGGGCGTGAGCCAGTCGTGCACGTGGATGCAGCCCCTCCGGAGGTCCGACCTCACCCACGACTTGTCGGAGGCCTGCAGCTGCTTCAGCTGCTTCTGCCGGAGGAACGTCTTCCTGTCCAGGCTGAGCGTGCTCAGCGGGGAGGCTGCGGGGGCCGGGCCGGCCGCCTCGGACGCCCCGGTGGAGGAGCTGGCGGTCGGCGGAGCCCCCAGAGACAGGTTCCGCTTGTGCTTGTGCCGCCTCCGGTTCAGCAGAGAGTTCACCGAAGTGGTGCTGCTCACCGACGTCAAGCTGTAAATGTTGCCGCTCTTTCCCGAACCGCCAACTGCGTTGGCGACCTGGTTCTGGTAGATTCCGTTCCTTATCGCGATCTGGAGAAGGGAGGTGGCCGCGAGCCCCTTTCCGAAGAGCTTCGCCTCGGCGCCCCCACCTTCGTCCTCCCCGATGGAGGGTCTTTTACCGGGAGGCAGCTGCGATAATCCAGTTGGCTTCGCGGAGTTGCCGCTGGTGTCCGGTGTCCCCTGCAGGGCGGACGAAGCCCCCCCGGACTCGTTTTCCTTCACACTTTCCATCACGTTAGCCAACAGCCTCTCGCGCGGGGCCAGTCGGACACGCAGCCCCGCAGGTGAACGCTCGTCTGGGTTAGCTTCCAGCCGTTAGCTCGCTCAGTGTGCGCCGCTCCGCGTTAGCTTAGCATGCTAAGGTACTGCGTAGTTCTTCCACAGAGTTATCCCGCTACATCATCCCATCTCACCGGAAGCCCGTTAGCTCTCTAACAGGAGCTAACCGGCTAGCGGAGCAAAGGAAACTGTTATTTATTTTTAACCGGTCGCCATTGAAGCTTTAAGACGACAAGGCGCGAGAAGACACCCCTACGCTAGAGACGGACGGTCAGTCGCATACTGGACCACATGAGGGCGGGGTCTCATTGGATATGAATTATGAAACATTCAGGTACCACACAAAATGCTCGGAAATTTAAAGACGCTCCTTCTCAGCAAGTTAAACTGGCGTTCATTTAAATCATCAAACATTATGAGGTCAGTTTAATAATAATAATAATCATTAGTTTTTAAAAAGTTTAGCTATATGAGTTATAGTTGAATGTATTATACGATTATGTATATATTTATGAATAAAATACCATAACTATAAATTTTACAATTCTTTTCTTACGTTTCGATTGTACGAGCTTTAAGGAGAAACTGAAGGCACCATAGCGTGCAGATATACTACAAACGATCTCGAACAGGTGGGAATTTAACCCCCAACTTTGATATTCCTCGCGTTAATCTTCTTGTTTTTAAACTCAGACACGGAAACAAATCTTAAAAAAAAATAAAAAAAATTAAACCAGTTAGAATATTTGTTTAGTTACTGCGTTTTACTTGTGTATAAACACTCGTATTCCTGGCGCCATCTGGTGGAATATAGGCAGCATTACCATGGCGAAATGTTTTATTTATTTATTACAATTTAATGTTTTTATTAGTTATTGTAAATAATTTATTTTAATTGTTGATTTTTTTCTGTTTATTTATTATCAATATCTAAAATTATAAAAAAAATGTATCTTTTTTGAGCATTATATACTTATACATTAAATACAAATTTTATACCGTAATTGTTTGTTCTTATTTAGGCTGTCTTCTTTTAATTTAATGACTTGCTTGGTGCAAAATTCATAACTCTACAAAACTATTTCCAAATAGCACCTAAAGAGCATTTTAAAATGTTTTTTTTGTTTCTTTGTTTTGGAGCCTGTTATTTTTAGGTTGTCTAATAAAATCCAAATGTATATGGGCAGAAATAATATGATTTTTTTTGTCTCCTTATTGCTTACTTTTTGTGTTTTAACTTGTAAGCATTTTGTTTTTGCTGTTACTTGTAAAAATAAGTTGTGTAAATAAATTCCGACTTATTTAAGGTAGTGAATCTTATTTAAAAATCACTTTGCTGGTGTGACATAATAATATTCTTGCTTTTAATATGGTGAGGTATGCCATAAAAGCTTGTAGTGATCAATTTTATTATTATAACTGTAATATTTTTATTATAATATGCTGGAATATATAAAATCTTGGAGGGCAGTGAAACAAAAACGTAACATGCTAACAATAATACAGGCGCATGTTTTGCAATGATCCGATTTTCTTTGGTTCTCAGGTAAAATGTTTCAACTTGTGTTTATTTTTTTTACACTTTTTACGTGTTTGCGTGTCATGCCTCTGCAGTGCAGATTTCCTGCAGAGAAATGACTTTATCAGCTCGTGTTTGTGCTGTGGCCTGCTGTCACATTGCAGTCCAACAGAGGGCAAAGTGCAATTACTGCTGCAACTGGAGTTTATCATCCTGTTTCTCTTCCTTCCTCCTCCCTCCTTCTGTCAAGTCTCCACCTCACTGTTTTTTATAAACCAGTCACTCACAGTCTTTCACTCATCCTCGCTGTGAGTTTATCGTCTCGTTCGTTGCAGCCGAGGTAAGCCTTTTTATTCTGTCTCTTGAAAGTTGCAGAAAGGTTGGAACTCAAGTTGAGCTGCTCAGTTTTATGGGAAGCTCTTGAACGACGCCGGCCTCTGAGGTAAGAGGGTGTGAATGAACAGCTTAGTCCACTGACACATTAAAGCTCTGAGCCCACCAGAGGCGTTTACTCTGGGATACAGAGCTCGTTTAATCCTGGTTTAAGTTCTTAAAGCCACAAGTGAAAACCCTGCAGGAACACTCACTCCTACAGCAGATGATTCTGCTAACGTGATCCTCGTTTGGGGAACGGGCTCACAGTAAAGAAATCTCTGTGGGGATCAGTTTGGAGATGCTTCTTTAGAAAGCAAAAGAAAACAGAGCAAAAAGTTTTTATTGAACTTTCTGTTCCATTTCACACATCTGAACAATAACCAGTTTAACCAGGAATCAAACTCCAAGCTTTTAAAAACGGTTTTCTGCAAACTTCGTGAGTAAACAAAAGAAATGTGGCTAATTCATCCGGAAGTGCCGTCTTTTAAAACTGCAGCATGAGCTGTGGACAGGACTTTCCCCTAAAAGCAGTTACGTTCTTGTTTTGGTCTCCCATGGCGGAGTGCTGATAAATTTAGACGTGCATCTGTTGAAACCTTTGGCAGAAAAAGTTAAAAAAGCCCAGAAATCTATATTTGGGGAGAAGTTGCTCATTAAACTGCTTGCCCAGCCCTGTCAGCTGCTTCCAGAGGAATTCTTCACGTGAAGGCACGGGAGTGTGTTCAGCTGGAAAAACAAATAAAATACATTTTCACTTGTGTGTATAGAAAATGTGACGTGTGAACCAGTAAACGTCAACCCTCTGCCTACGTCTTTTCTGATCTCGTGGTTGTTTTCGTGTCTTTCTTGTCTTTTTGTCTTTTTGTCTCGTTCCTAATGCTTTGTCCCTCTCAGCAGTCGGTCTGTTTGAGTCTTTTGTTATTTGAACCCTTTTTGTTTAAAACTCTTTTAACGTTGCTGTTTTTAGCGTCCCTTTGTGACGGTTTTTCCAAGTTTTACGTGCTTTATTTTTGTTCTGTGCCACTTTAAAGTTGTTTTCTTCTGTCGCACGTTGCTTTACTGTGAACTGGTGTTTTCACAGGTGGTCTGTGTCTTTTAGAGATCTGCGTCTGTAGTTTGTTGCGCCTCTCTTTGTAGTTTGTGTCATTCGTTTTCAACTTTCATGTCTATTTGAAGTCTTTTTCTTATAATTTTGCATCTCTCTGTGGTTGTTTTGCCTATTTTGGTAACTGGTTTAGAAGTCGGACAGACCCAGTAGACCCAAACAGTGAGGGTTTGCTGAGAACACCTGGCAGAAGAACCCGTCAGGAGGATCTTCATCTCACCTCCGACACAGCTTCAGCTTCAGCTTCATCCCAGCGGAGGCGGGGGACATGGAGTCCAAGTGGGCCATGCTCCACGCTGCCATCTTTAGGGCGGTTGCCTTGAGCCGTGGCTGTATAACCTACAACCTGGTGGTGGGCATTCAGTCCCTGTACAAACGCTGCAGGACTCTGGTTCTCATTGCTGGCAGTAAGTCGGACTGCTTTGGAGTGGACCCCAGGTCTGCCTGTTGTCACCGATTCTGTTCATAACTTCCATGAACAGAATGTCTCAGTGCAGCCAGGAGGTGGAGGGAGTCCGGTTCAGTGGCCTCAGCATTATAGCTCTGCTATTTGCAGACGATGTGGTCTTGTTGGCGTCATCGTGCCGTGATCTCCAGCTCTCACTGGAGCGGTTTGCAGCCGGGATAAGAATCAGCACCTCCAAATCTGAGCTCCTCAGTCGGACTTGGTAGACCGTCCTCTCTGGGATGAGAGGGAGGTGACACCTCAAGTGGAGGAGTTCAAGTATCTCAGGGTTTTGTTCACGAGTGAGTGGAGAATGGAGCGTGAGATCGACAGATGGATCGGTGCAGCTTCTGTAGTATTGTACACTCTGTGCCGGTCCATTGTAGTGAAGAAGGAGTTTAACTCTCTGTTTAACTCTGAGTAGTGCGCAAAAGTGCAAGATTGTGGATACAATCCGTCTAAATGAGTTTTCTCTGCAGGGTAGCAGGACTCATTAGAGGTCAGGTGAGAAGTTTGTTTCTCCAGGAGAGACTTGGAGTAGAACGGCTGCCCCATCCAGAAGAACGAGATGGTTCAGACATCTGGTGAGGATGCTCCTTGGATGTCTTCATAGGGTTTCTGGGTATGTCCAACTGGAAGGAGACCCCGGGGAAGACTGGAACACCTTGAGACGAGCTGGAAGAGGTGTCTGTGGAAAGCGATGCCTGGACCTCCCTGCTCAAGCTGCTGCTCCGACCTGACTGGTAGAAGATGATGGATGTAAAAGATGCATGCATCTTTATTTATTTATTTATTGTTTATTTGATGGGACAGATACAAGAAACATAGATCAAAACAATCTAATGTCTGCATCACCGTGTATATAGCCAAAGCTAATTTGCAACATGTTGTTCAAATCCAAAAAAAGGTTAAAAACAGAACAAGTTGTTTTGTTTTTAACCTTCTTTTGGATTGACCATGTCCTGGACGACTGAGGATCTTCATCAGCGCACACCATGTTGTGCGTCTCTGTACATAAGCTTGTTTTTTACTCTTTGCTTCCATTTTTATTTTCTTGTGGTCCTTTTGTCTCTTTTTCAAGCGATTCCTTAGTAATTTTGTGTTTTTGGTTCTGTGAATCATCTAATTGTCTTGTTTTGTTTATTTCTGTTAATCGTCCGAGTCTCTTAGCGGTTCATTTGTGCCTCTGCAGCTCATTTTGAGTCTTTGCATCATTTTGTTGTGCTTCAATCATTTCTGGTTTCATTTGTTCTCCAGTTGCATTGACGTCACATGACCTTGTTTTTGTGTTTAGATGCTTTCATATGATGTTGTTTTGCATCTCATTGATTGTTTTGGTGTTTTTTGCAGATATTTTGCATCATTAAATTATTATTTTTTTGTCTTCTTATAGACTTGGTGTCTTTTGGTTACTACAAGTAATTGAAACCTAATGTATTTATCTTTAATAATCAACAAAGAGCTCAGTTGTGGACATAATCTGTAAAGACATCCTCTCAGACCAAGATATAGTTTGTTTTTTCTGCCGTGGTCATGGTCTGGACGAAAGCGAGGTTAACCGCTGCTCATTGTGTCCCTCTCCGTCCCTCCATGAGTCCGTCTCAAACACTGTAGAGCCCCGACTCAATCAGGAGCTGGTGGTTTACACATTCTTTAGCATAGAAAAATAAATTCTGACAAAACAAATCCAAAATAACTAAAGAACTCTTGGAAAAGCACAAAGTGAAGACAGATTTTGAAGTAAAAAAAAACAAACAACGAAACTCAAAAAGTGCATTTTTAAATTAAGTTTTTAATTTTGGAGCCAGTGATCTATGTGTTGCCTAATGTAAAGTTCAGATAAAACAGATACAGGCTACAATCCTGTGAATTTTTACAGGCAAATACAATAATGCAATTCTGATTAAATCTAAGAAATCGGCTGAAAAATGCTGTTAAACCGTTGTGTTTTTACTCATTTTGTTCTCTTTTGTCGTTTTGGGTCTTAAGCGGTAGCAACGTTAACAACGGTCAATAATTTGCTTTTAGTCAAATAAAGTTTCACAGTTATCTTAGCCCAACACATCCAATGGAAAAGAAACAGGCAACGTGTCCAAAGTTGACAAATGTGTTACTTAATACACAGAAAACCAAAAGTGTAAATATAGCTTAAAGACTCCCGTCCTTTAGCATCTGCAGGACCATGCTGCAGATGTTTTACCACTCGGTGGTCTCCAGCATCATCATCCTCTACCCTGTGGTGTGCTGGTGAAGAAAGCTGATGCCAACAGACTTGATAAACTCATCAGAAGAGCTGGCTCAGTTCTGGGAGTGGACCTGCAGTCTCTGACAGAGGTGTCTGAGCAGAGGATGCTGAGGAACCTGCTCCAGATCCTGAACAACACGTCACACCCCCTGCAGGACACCCTGGACTCTCACCGCAGCACCTTCAGCTGTAGACTGAGACCACCGAGGTGCTGCACAGAACAACACAGGAAGTCCTTCAAACTTTTCAACTCCTCCCCCTTTCTACACAAACAATAAACTTGATCCTGCACCACAATAAATTAGTGCTTCTGTCTGCACCTGACCTGTTTCACACTTTAATTGTTGGTATTTTTATTTATTTATTTTTCCTCTTTCGGCTGCTCCCTTCTTCTGGGGTCGCCACAGCGAATAAGTCGACGAAGATTTGGCGTTTATTTTTAGGCCGGATCCAGTTCCTGATGCAACCACAAACCACCGAGCTACCACAGCCTCTGTGTGGAGCAGGGAGCTGCTATATAGGACACCCGGGGGAGCAGATGGTGGGGGTTAAGGGCCTTGCTCAAGGGCCCAGAGTGGGACAAATGAGGGTGGAGGAGGTGTGGGTGCTTCACCTTTCCCACCCACATTGGTAGCGGGAGTTGAACTGGAGATCTTCTGATCACAGGCCCACCTTCCCTAACCTCTGCACCACTACTCCCATTTATTGGCATTTTTATATTCTCTGTTATTTTTGATATCTTGTTTGATTCCTTGTGTTTGTTCCTTCGTACTGAAACTCTGGCACAACAATTTCCTGCGGGATCAATAAAGTTTTATCTTATCTTATCTTATCTTATCTTATCTTATCTTGTATAAAAAGGTGGTAGAATGAGTTTTATTAAAATTTTACAGCCAGACTAATGTATTCTAGTTTATAGTTTATGTGCTAGGCTAACACTAAAGCTAACTGCTGCAGGTTTACAATTAGCATGCAGTTATAAATGTCTTAAAAAACAAAGGTGTTAAATCACTTTTATTTTAGATGATCGTGTAACTTGTCTGTGTTCATTTATTTATTAGTAAAATATGTCATGATTATGCTACAGCTGGCGGGTTTTAGAAATACAAACACGACACCAGCTCACTTGATTTTCACGTATCCTGAGCTAAAACGTGTTGTGGTAGTAGCTGAGAGTCATCGACGACACACTCCGAGCGCTTGATCAAAACTTTGGTTTTGTTGAGCTACATGTCTCAAAGAAAACTAGTTTAATTTTAAAAAGCTGGACAGTAACAGTAGGAGCGGTGCAATATCATGCTAAAAAAGTTTTAAAAGTGTAAACACTTGTCGAATCAAGAAGTATAAAACTTTAAATTAAACAAACTAATTTAACGTGTTAGCTCACTGGTTGCAGTCATATAAATAATATAAATGAGAAATGCCAGCTCCTCGTGTTTTCGTTTCGTTTGCTGCGGACTGAAGAGACATTTTTGTGTGTGCTCCTCGTCATGTCACAAGCTCAGGCAGAGTTTCAGCGACTAAGCATTCACACGAGATTCAGATAATGACAGAGGTTCAAATCAGTTATTTGCTGCGTGAGCCACACAGTCAGACTCACGTGGCCGTCAGATGCTCAGAAAAACGTTGTGTTAACAAGTGAAAGGTCTCAGTTCCGTAAAATGTCTTAAACTTACTTTTTGACAAACCTGGGTCACTTCCTGTCCTTCCACAGACGACCCATGTAACCAAAAGCCAACATGGAGGAACAGAGTCAGATGGATCTGACGTACATCACGGAGCGCATCATCAGCATCCTCTGTCCTGCCGGGTGTCCTGAGGACACGTACCTGCAGGACCTGCAGGAGATCGTCCCCATGCTGCAGTCCAAGCACGGACACAACTACATGGTGAGAAAGGCTAAACTGATTCGTTGACAAGCGTTTTTCTTGAAAGAACAAGTCGTCATTTATTCTTTAAAAGATTTGAGTGGCTGTTGCATCATTTTTACATGTAAGCTACAAGAAAAAAACTAAATGTTCATTTATTTGATCTGTTTTTGATGACTGTTTACACAACCAATCTTTAGACACACCCACCAACCAGTTTGTTTAGTACACCTTGCTAATCCCAGGTTGCTTGTATCATCCATCCATCCATCCATCCATCCATCCATCCATCCATCCATCCATCCATCATCCATCCATCCATCCATCCATCCATCCATC